AAAATTGTAAACTCAATCATAATGAAAACATAATAAGCCGATTTCCAATATTGGGAATAAAATTAACCCTGACTCTTCATTCATTTAAAAGCTAACAACAGGGTATTATAAACAACTTTATGCCAATAAATCCAAAAACTTAAATGAAATGGACAAATTCTTAAAAGACACAACTTACCAAAACACACAAGAAGAAATAGAAAATCCAAATAACCCCATGCCTAGCAAAGAAATTCATAATTAAAATTTCCAGGTCGAGTTGACTTCATTGGTAAATTCTCATGAATATTTGAGGAAGAAATACAATTGCAACCTTAAACAGTTTCAGAAAATAGGAAGAAGAGAATACTTCCCAACTCATTTTATGAGGCCAGCATAACTCATATCAAAACCTGACAAAGTTATTACAAGAAAAGAAAATTACAGAACAATATTGTTAATGAATACAGAACAAAAATTCTCAACAAAACATTACAAATGAAGTAAACAATATATAAAAGGATAATACACCATGACCAAGTATGTGTGGTTAATCTCAGGAACTGAACTTTTGTTTAACATTGAAAACCAATCAACATAATATTATTAATTAATAAAATAAAGGAGAACAATGATATTATTGTCTCAATGTGTAAAATAAAAGTCACTTGACAAAAACTGTCAGCAAAGTAGTAATACACGGGAACTTCTTGAGTCTAATAAATACATGGAAACTCTACAGCTATGTAATACTTAATAAAATACTGAATGCAATTTCCCTAAGACCTAGAACAATGCAAGGATGCTCATTCTGCTTTGTAGTTAGAATTAATAAGAAAATAAAGCAAGGAATGATTGGGAAAGAAGTTAGACTTTATTACCAATGTCATCATTGTGTATATAGAAAGAAAATCTTAGGAAATCTACCAAAATAAATAAATAAAGCTGCCAGAACGAATGAGGAAATTAGCCAGGTTGCTAGATACAAGTTCAGTATATTGAAAAGCACTTGTATTCCTAAACTCTAGCAACCAACATTTGGGATTTGAAATTTTTTCACATTGTACATACTAGTTATTAAGATCAGATGTCTATTTCTGATTTATTGCCTATTAATAAACCAGAGTTGATACATCGTGCACTCCCTATATGTGTCTGTCGAGGCCTTGAATCAGAAACTAACCATAATACTTAGGACATTATATATCATTTATGTTGGGATTTGATAAGTGTTTTTAATAAAAGGAAGGCTCAATTAATAGTTAAATTCAAAGACACAAACTTCTAGAAGCCATTTTTAGATACATGGACAAGGATTAAATTAAAATGTATACAAATTTTATTGAAATCTAGGCAGATGGAGTGTTTCCAGAGATAACTTTTCTTTCTAAGATATGGCTACTATGGTTCAAGTATTTGATGAATATTAGATAAAGACACAGCCAGAGACTCATATCAAACTAGGCTCCCTACAACTGGAAGGGCCATAGGCATTCATAGTACTGAAGTAACGCTGATTCAGTGTTTATTATGTACCTACGAGATACCAAGTATATACAGTAATGATGAACAAGACATAGCTCACTGTCACCACCTTTCTCATGCAGAAATTGCAGAGGATATTTTAAGGCTTCACTAAAAGAAGTATCCTCTTTTAGACTATAAACTAGTAGTGATTACGCACTGTAGATCAACAATCTCATGCTCCTTGTGTGTCCTATTAGTGTTTATCCAATAGAAATTTAACTCAAGCTATATATATAATTTATATTTTCTGTAGCCACATTTAAAGTGTTAACAGGTTAATTAATTGGATAATATATTATATTTAACTTAATGTATCAAAAATAGCATTTCAACATGTAGTCAATGTTTTTAAGTTATTAAAGAAATATTTTAAATTTTTAATTTTGTACTAAATTTTCAAATTGCCACATATATGTTACACTTACAGCACATCTCAATTTGGACAAGCCACATTTCCAGTGTTTAATAGCCACATGGCTAGTGGCTATCTTACTGGACAGTGGAGGTTTAGGTATGAATCAGCCCCCATTGAGCTACAACCTGTTGAAGTTTACAAGTGGACTCCAGATAGATGGAGAGCTGATGGTATTTCTGGCCTATAATGTTAGAGGAAAGTCACCATATCCAATGACTTTCTCTTATGCTCTATAACGCTCTACCAGTTTTCATCTGCAAGAGTCCCATAGTTTTACTATATTTGAAGACAGATCTGTACAGCCAGTATGCAAATATGTACAAGTGGTCTTGAAAATTTTAATGTTCAATGATTCCACTAGTAATGAGAGAGCTTTTCAGAACCTAAAAAAAATATTGCTACTCACATTTCTCAATGCTACTCACATTTCTCAATTAATATTTGTTGGATGAATGTTGAAATGAACCAGTAGACCACATATTAGTTCTCTGATACACAAAGAAGATGTTTTTAGCTCTAGTAGGCCAATGAGCCCATGCTCATTTGCATGCTTGGCTTCCATTTAAAATTCTTCTGCATTTTATTTCAATAATTTTTTCCCCTCTGTTCTAAGGTCATTGTTTCCATTAAGCTATAATATAAATCCCATTATTTTCAGGTATATGATCTCTTTATGACACTATACACAAAGATCTGTGTTTTAAATTTGAAATGGTTTGAATGTTTGTCCCCTCCAGATCTCATGTTGAAATCTGATTCCCAATGTCAGAGGTAGGGCCTGGTGGGAGGTGATTGGATCATGGGGGCAGATCCCTCATGAATGGTTTACCATTTCCTTGATGATAAGCAAGTTCTTGCTCAGTTACTTCATGTGAGATCTGGTTGTTTAAAAGCATGTGGCACCTCTCCCCTCACTCTCTTGCTCCCATTCTCACCATATGCTGGCTCCCCTTCATCTTCTGCCGTGATTGTAAGCTTCCTGATGCCCTTACCAGAAGCTAAGCAGATGTTGGCATTATGCTTGGCAAGATGAACCAAATAAACGTCTTTTTTTAAAAAAAATTACCCAGGCTCAAGTATTCCTTTACAGCAATGCAAAGTCACAGCTGGGATTTAGAAAGGTAGTGACTTGGAACCAGCTTGGACATAATCATTGTTTTAACACAAATGTTTATAGACCCAACTTAAAATTAGTTTTATATCTTTTACAGTAGAGTTCTCAGGGTGGCTGGTACCACCCATCTCCACTCCAATAGAATCAGCTGGGGATGAGAAGCCTAGGCCTACAGCTGAATTGGAATCTCTAGAAATGGTGTTTGGGAACTTGCATATGTAATATGTACCAAGTCATCTTCTGCCATGATTGTAAGCTACCTAAGGCCCTCACCAGAAGCTGAGCAAATGTTGGCATTATTAATATTTGTTGTCATTATTAATAATTGTGAAACTCATTTCACACTGGAGTTTGACAGCCAGTGCCTTATAGTGAAGTTCTACTTTAATATAACTAAGAATACAATTGCATACTACCATTTGAATCTGTTTTATTACTGAAGGAAATGCTGTTTTCAGTCCTTACTTACTTCATTTACTACCTTTGCTGAACATTTTATTGTGTACTGCGAGTAAATTTTTAAGGGTATCCATCATTCAGCTCATAAAAAGGATGTTGTGCTTTCTTGATGTGTAAGTTGTGAATGATAGATTCAACTGAAATCTAATTATATTGATCATGAATGGACAAATGTCTAAAATCAAATTGTCTAGGACCTAGATCATATTCCTTTGTGTTTTTTTAAGTGTAGTCTCTGTAATGTTTATGACTATGTCAGGTAAGATGTTCATTATTTTTTATTTTTTCCATGAAATTGTTTCAAATGTACTGTAATTCAATCATAATTCTACAGAAAGCCATTGAGCCAGACACAAGTACTAGGACTTCAAAAAAGAATTGGTCTCAGCATTAGCCTTTGGGAAGATCGCAGCCTCTACGAGGCAGGGGTGAGGGGCAGATACGGAAAGGCTTGTGTTAAAACATAACCGTAATACTATGGTTTTAAGTAAAGCAAGGCAACATGGGAGTAGAGAGAAGTGGGGCAAAGGTGACTATCTGAAAAGGCTGGGTTTCACAAAGATAACTGTGTTCTGTCTGAGTGCAGTCCAGTCAGCCAGAGAAGTGAAGGCATTCCCACAAGGTCATCCAGGACATAGGGAATACCAGAACTTGGTTCCCCCAGATTCAAACTGCACCCTTCAAGCTTTCTACAAGAACATGGCCTTCAAAAGCATACCGGCTTCCTCTTTCTCACACCCAAAGCTCTCTCTGGTAGTAAGATGTTAAGTGTGATACATTTCCTTTTCAAGCCACTAATGTGCCATTTAATTCACTCCAGCAATAACTAAATAGGAACCTACCTTTAAAAGATGCCAAAAGCAACATCCTGCTAATTTATTGCCATATCTATTAAAGCTCCAGAGAGAATCTGACTCCCTAGATATTAAATATAGTTGAGATATGATGATGATGTTTTCTGATTTAAGCCCTTCATAAATTAGATGCAATGATTATAGTACCTGTTGTCACTGCATTTTTGCTCTCTCTCCAGTCACTCTTCTGCCTTTATTAATTCAGAATAAAATATCACAAGACATTAATGTAGCACTTGGAGATAGGAGGGCTATATTTTTATAGCCTCAATATGAAATTGTACTTAAAGACTCATAGCCTTTACTGGAATTGCAGGAAGGAAAAGGCCCTGCTCATCTCCTATAAGCCTCTTAATAACCTTCCTGGATAGTTATGGACATGGAAACTAAGGCTCAGAGATGCCCAGGGTCACTCTGCAAGTAATTACCAGATCCAAAACATGCCCAGGTCTTCCTACTCAAAATACAAGGCTTTTCTAGTACATCCTCTAATCTTCTGGGGCTTCTTTTTAAACAGTTTCTTGGCTGTTTGCAATGAAAGGCATTATTGCCAACATGTAAACAAAAAGAGAAATCTTGGCATCCTCCATCACTTTATCATAAGTGTCTTTAGTTTATCACTTCACAGTCATTATTTGGTGTTTTCTTACAGAAGGCAACAGACTACTGCAACAGAAACTATCCTTAGATGGGAACCCCAAACCTATACATGGAACAGCAGAGAGGTCAGATGGCCTACAGTGGTCAGCTGAGCAGCCTTGTAACCCAAGCAAGCCTAAGGCAAAAACATCTCCTGTTAAGTCCAATGCCCCTGCAGCTCATCTTGAAATAAAGCCAGATGAGTTGGCAAAGAAAAGAGGTAAAGTGATTTCTTTTGCACAAATGATTCAACATATTTTGCACATACAGAAAAGTGCCAGAGTGACAGAACTTTCCAAAAGATGCTGCTTAGTGAAGAGAGATGCACATGAAATTGCATTTTTCTCTGTGACCCACATAGATGGAAAGGCAGATGTGATTCCTCCCATGTAATCAAAGGTCTTGAATATTTAAATGGAATTACATCTCTTTTCTCTGCACCTCTGAGACCATTCTTCTTGTTGTAGGCATGGATAAACTGGTACCACAAATACCTTCTATCCTAATATCTTATAAAGCAAATGCTCATGCAGGAGCTCTTTTAAAAATTTAAGTGCTGAAAGGGACTCATGTTTCCCTGATACACAAGTGCTTGACTTGCATTGAAAGAAGATGAGTCTGGAGGCTGGTGTGTGTTCTTCAGATGTGGTCTTCCCCATGTAAATTCAGTTCTGTGTTAGAATTTACAGAGAGTGTAACACTGAAAGAGGGTTTTATATTTGACACACTGTGTTTTTATGATTTTTCTGAGCTTGGATATACTTGATACATAACTAGTATTAAAAACGAAAATTGCTTCCTTTCTGATTCCCAGAAGATTAAATAATACTCTTCTCATTCAGCCTCAGCTGTATCTGATTTCCTTGGCTTTGGTTTAATCTACTTTCTCACTTTTCTTGAGGGGGATTTCTTTCTTCTAAGAAACATGGCCTTGATTGTGTTAAGTACAATCTGCCTATTTGTGATGCACTACCTGTAGACCCTGGTGACAGTTTCAGGAAATCAGGCGAGATGGGCACCCACAGAGCTGCTTTCAGTGCTGCTGCTCTTATTACAGGCCTGGCTTTGGATGATGGGGCCAGTGCCAGCATACCTGGCACCAGTGTCCCATCCTCTCTCTAGATCATCTGTACCTCTGGCAATCTCTGTGGCATTTTCCTCTTCCAAAAGCCCTGCTGGCTTTTAACCACGCAGAGTGGTGTTTAAAGAGAGAGCCAGCAGCACAAATGGTCTTTAGACGTATCAGATTCTAAGGTACTGCAGTTTGTAATAGAACATAATGATCACAGCCTCCTTTTGAAGAGCACAGGAGACAAGTATACCCTAGATGGCCCAGGCAGAGACCCCACTGGTGAAATCATAGCAGCCTCAGGTGCCACGCAAACCACCCACACTGGGTTACATTCTCCTGTTGGAACTTTTGCTAGACAAAAAACGAATCCCTTTTTCTTGGTGGGCTAGTTGCTTTGTTTTGTTGTTTATCTTACAAACAAAGGATAAAGTGCTCAAGTTAATAATGTTTTTTGACATCAATTTTAGGCCCAAATATTGAGAAATCAGTGAAGGATTTGCAACGCTGCACTGTTTCTCTAACTAGATACCGCGTCATGATCAAGGAAGAAGTGGATAGTTCTGTGAAGAAGATCAAAGCTGCCTTTGCTGAATTACACAACTGGTGAGTGATTCAACATAGAAACTATAAATGTATGATACTTGAGTCGTTCAAATAGGTAAAAGTATCAGATGGAAAACATTGTTTATTTAATATATAAGCATCACAGAATAACTCTCCAGCAGATTGTTTTAAGCCCTGCAGACAGTAGCATATATCTTGGGAATAAAAAAGAAGATAAAGTATTTGAATAGAAAGAAACCTGATAGACATAATTCACTGGAGTTTGAAGTTGGACCCAAACTATATGAATGATGTGGAACAAAACCCCAACAAAGAACGAAACCTCCAAAAATAATATTTTTGACAAATCGCTGAAAGGCTAATATCATGATTGCTACTAGGAAAACAAAATATTTTCCAGCACTATAATTATAAAATAAGAAGAATTCCCTTAATGAAATTCAGAAACATCTCACATAAGCTTAGTGACAGAGTCCCATTCTTGGGTATCTTTAAGACTAGAATTTAAACATGGTGCACCAATATGGTTTTGGTCCTGCCTTGCTCTGCTACTGATTTTGATAGAAAATGTTTCTTTGAGCCCTGTATATTTGCTAATGCCCACAATTGAAACAATATATCTTTTAGTAAAGGTCTACTTATTATCAGTAGAAGAATGTTCTCAGTGTATTAGGACTCTTTCAGTTTCGAGTGGCAGAAACCAAGTCATACTAGTTAAAGACAAAAGAGAATTTATTGGCTGATATACATGAAAATTTCAGAAGGTTCCTTCAGACAAATTTGGCTGTAAATCCTCATTATGTTATCAGGACTTGGTTTGTCTCACCCTCTCTCCTTCCTCCCCCTCCTAGCGTTTCCCACAGTCTCCTACCTCTGCCCACTCTTGGCTTTTTTTTAGGCACCATCTTTCCATATGGCAACAAAGCTGACCCCCTCACAGCTAAGGGCTGGCACGTATCCACCATGCCCAGGCTCCTGTAACATGTTCCCTGTGTCTCCTTGGCTTTCCATGATTCTAGAACTTGATCACATGTTCTGCATGTTTTTCCTATTCCCAGTGCTTGCTTTTTAGCAGAAACTATGGAGTTGTGTAAAACTAAGAATTAGGCTTAACACTAATCTAATCTAAAATGCATGAATTTTAAACCATCTGCTGTGTATCATATAAGATCCTAAGGGTGCAAAAGACAGCAGGAACTTGAAAGAAAACCTTCTCCTTCAGTTATCATTCAGCCTCTCAGAGGCCCTCTGAGGGGAGGAGTCATCTACCTCCCCCACCCCAGTCATAGCATCTGTATGTCACTGTAAGGACTCTCTGTTTGATCATATGATAACCTAATCAATTGTTCAAAGTAACTCCAAGAATATGAGAAATTAAAGATGCTATAGTTGTTCTTACTATTATTTTATAGTCATAAAACTTTCCAATCTATCTTTAGGTAAGTTACCCTAAGACTTAGAAGTACAGCCAGCTTCCAGGCCTGTCCTCTAGAACCAGGGTCTGCAGACTTTATCTCTATGGGGCCAGCTAGTAAATATCCTAAGCAATGTGGCCTTAAGGTCTCCATGCAGCTACCTAGCTCTGCTGTTGCTGCTCAAAGGCAGCCCTAGATAATCAAAAAGACAGTGGGCCACATTTGGCTCGTGAAGGTCATAGTTCACCAACCCCTGTCTAGAGGCATTAGTTAGCTGTTCAGAGAAGACCACTCTGTCTTATTCTTTTGTGTGGCCTTTTAGAATAAACTCTTTCTCTGAGGCCTCTGTGTGATACCTTCCATCTGAGTGACTCACACACTAATTGACAAAGTGTAGCAGTGCCCTCAAATTACCTCTCTCTCCTCCAGCTGCTCTGAGTACTTCTTATTTTATTTTATTTCTTAGTAAAATGAACATCACATGGGTCATGAGATGTCTTGAGATTTATAACAGATTCTGTGAGAGTTTTACTCCTCAAGAGCTGAAAGTGTGGGGCCAGGAAAGTCAGCACCCAAGGAAATTGTATGTTTTTTCTCTGCTTGTAATTCAGGTTGTGTTTTAATCTGATGGAAAAAATCACTTCTGAATGAGCGCTGTAGTGCTGCTGTTTAAAAGCCACCTACTTAACTAAATGGCACTTTTTCTGCAAACCGAAGAAGACATTTAGATCAACCATTTTTTGTATGCTGTTGCTATAAAATGATAAACACCAGCACTTATTTTCTGATCTAATCCTTAATAAAAATGATCCCACAATCATTGCATAAATGTTAACTTAAAAATAAAACCAAAGTACTTTTAAAAATCAGCCATGTATGTCTGCCAAACGGAAAAACCTTGCTTCTGTTCCAAATGAGCCTGCAGCCCAGCAAACATGGTGACGTACTTGAATAAAGCCTCCCTCTTGTTTTCTAAGGGAAAGAAAATGACTTTTAGGGATTGTGGTGCTCTTGAAATATCAGGTCACAAAATTGAAGATGGAAGCTTAGAAAATTTTTTTAATGAAATTTTCTTATTGATGGTGAAATCCTGCATTCTAAGCATTAGAGAAAACTTTGAATGAACTGTAGGTGTATTCGAATGTACTCATTTTAATATAGTTGTTGCCTCAAGATTACATCATGAGGCATATCTAGATTTGGAGGACATGGGATAAGTCCTCTGGAGATTTCCAGAAAGTGTGCTAGTTCTGAGAGAGATGTCACTGCATATGGTGCACAAATGACATGGATGTGTACCTCCATTTCCAGTTCCTCTTCTACTCTCCTTTCTTTGGGCCACTCAGCTATCCTAACCACAAAGTACTTCACAAGCAGTTCATGTAGTTTAGAGCTAAAAACTCAAGTCAGAAATTCTAAATATTCACTTTGCTACCAAAAAGTGCCAGCATAAGGACCTGAGTCCTGCTTGACTAAATTCCCTGAAAAGTGCTGCTGGAATTCATGAGAATGATGATTTTGAAAGGCTGGGAGGAAGCTGTTGTTTGCACATCCTCGATACCAAGCGAGCGAGCACACATCAAGGTAAAATGAATGAAATGATCTCTCTTCCAACTGGGATGTGAAGAATACTTTGCTCAGTACAGTTATTGAAGAAAACCATCAAGTAGCTAAAATACAAAACCAAAGTTGGCATTTCAGCAGGACATAGTTACATAAGGCTGCATGGCCGTAACATAGATAATTCTCATTTTCCCAGAAAGAATTGGGGATTTGAGAGGGGAACAAAGATGACAAAATGCTCTCACAGTACATCTTAACAGAAAATAAATTTTGCGACATGAGCATCTGTGTGAAAAGTCACATCAGGAACTAACATGAAACAGCTGGTTTCTTTTCTGTATGATTGGCCTCCTACCACAACTGGAAAATATTCATCCTTTGGAATCATAGCTGCCAGATTTAATTGCTTTATATGCAAACTACTGTAGCTTCTTATCACAAATCCGTGTGTGTGTGTGTGTGTGTGTGTCCAAGTTGATTGTAAAGGCTTAAAACGAGCAATGAAACATTAAATTCAAAAAAACATTGAGGAAGGAGAATAATATTTGATAGTTCCACCATATGCTGGGGGAAAAAGTATTCCAAAATAGAGCTGTAAAAATTGTTAGGTGCTATTGTCAATTTAACATCTAATTAAAAGCACTCTGAGAAAATGGAAGACTGTGATGAGCCAGTGGGATAGGGTGTGTGCTGGGCATGGGGTGGTATAAAGAGGCTGCAGAGAATGGGGGCTGGAGGGAACAGTTCTTTTAGGCAGCTTTGTTTTCAAAGTGGAAAGGGAAATCTGTGAAAGCATGTATTCTGTATCAGTGGGCCAGAAGTGTTCCTATACTTTGTGTTTATTTTTTCTCAAAGCAATGCCAGGTCTGGCCCAAGCGGAATTTGAAAGTAGGTCAGGCGTCTCAGCTCCCACCACCCTGAGCCCTGGTCCATTTCCCCTTCCTCTGCCAATTTTCCTGCATCTTGGAGTTTCCTCCTTCCCAGCAGACAGGGTGAACCTCCTGCTGCCCCCTACAGGCCAGGGCTCCTCACCTTAATAAAGACAGGCGTTTACAATGGTGTCTCCACTCCACCGCTTAACACTGGTGTCTCCACTCCAAAGAGCAGTTTCTCTTTTTTTTTAAACTAAGGAAACTCAATTGTCTTATGTAACTATTAAACTCATTCCTTTGATCATTGTGTATCTTCCCTCCCAAAGTGACATATTTGCATGTTAACAAATGCTTTGTTGAGACTCCCCCAGCCAAAAGAATAACTCTAAAAGTGAGAATTTGGCAGGGCAAGGCAGCTCACACTTGTAATCCCAGCACTTTCGGAGGCTGAGGCAGGAGTCTGAGACCAATTTGGTCAACACAGCGAGACCTCGTCTCTACAAAAAGGAAAAATAATAGCTAGGTGTGGTGGTTTGTCTTAGTCCCAGCTACTCAGGAGGCTGAGAGGTGGGAGGATCACTTGACCCTAGGCGGTCAAGGCTATAGTGAGCCAAGATCATGCCACTGCACTCCAGCCTGGGCAACAGAGTGAGTGGAACTTTTAAACAGACGAAAAAGCTATTTTGAAATAAGTTTATCTTTCTCATCCCTCAAATCCTTCTCATCTGCTACTGAAGCCCTGTTGACAGTCAAGCAAAACTACATACAGATTATCAAGGTGATCCACAGGTGGCCCCACATACAAAGCAGATGTTACCACTGACACTTTAAATATTGTGCACTTTTCCTAGGATGCAATCTTGAGGTCTCTCATGTGGGAAATTTCCAGTGGCACTGTTGAGTATCAGAACCACCTATGTAATCGTCTGTCCCATATTCCCAGTTTGCTGCCCCTTGGATACCCAGATAATTTAAAATTGTTGAAACATATATCCTTGAAGCCCCTTTCTTTTGAGTCAAAATAAGACCATCACTTTTGCAGGTTTTTCACAGTTGATTCTTGCAATATTGGTTTTTTTTTTTCTTTGCCCATATCCTCCAAATTTCAGCTGCTTTCTTGTGATTCCTGGCTTTCAAACAATGATAAAAGCCTGACTTTTCTATGTTCTTTGGGTTTTTTATGTGTTAT